CCAGGCAAGTTACTTCACCTCTCTGAGCCTCAGCATCCTCATCTCCAATGTAAAGATGATAATGATTATTCCTTAGACTTCCAGTGAGTATTAAGTGAAATAGAGTATATAAAATGTCTGGCACATATTGGTACATAGGTAATGGCAAAAACACTCATCCACCCTTCATTAATTTCATAAACATTTCAAGATCTTTCCAAAAAGCTGGAAGTCTCCTGCCCCTCATCCCACCCCCGTCCCATCCGGATCAGGCCACTATCAGCTCTTGCCTGGACCACTGCAACCTCCTGCTACCTAATCTCCCTATGACACTCTTACTCTATTTTAATCCCTCCTGTCCAAAGGATATCTGAAAAAATCTGATTATTGGGCTTCCCTGGTGGCGCAGTCGTTAAGAATCCGCCTGCCAATGCAGGGGACACGGGTTCAAGCCCTGGTCCGGGAAGATCCCACACGCCAAGGAGCAACTAAACCCGTGCGCCACAACTACTGAGCCCCTGCACCTAGAGCCCGTGCTCTGCAACAAGAGAAGCCACCGCAATGAGAAGCCCGTGCACCTCAATGAAGAGTAGCCCCCGCTCACTGCAACTGGAGAAAGCCTGCACGGCAACGAAGACCCAACGCAGCTAAAAATAAATAAATTAATTAATTTAAAAAAATCTGATATCGCTCACTCAACACTCTTCTGTAGTTTCTCATTGCCCTTAGGATAAATTATACACTCCTTGCCACAGCCCACTGAGGCCCTGCAGTCTTGTCCTTAGCACATGCTGCTCCCTTTGCCTGGAATAATCTTCCCTCCCTCCCTCTCTCCTCCATTTCTGGCAGTCATCCTCTTCACCTTGCTATCCTTTAATCAGGGTTTAACTAAAATATCACCTCCTCCAGGAAGCTTCCCATGATTCCCTGCCTCCAGATGAATTTAGGCAACACTGCTGAGTGTTTCTATAGCATCCCACATATTCCCAGGCAGTTTGTCAAGTTGGATAGCAGTTGCTTGTTTAATTGTCCAGGTTTCTACTATACGCTGTAACTACATAAGGTCAGAAGACTTTTCACGCTCATCACTGTATCTTGCGATAGTAAGTCATCAATTAATATGGGCTTATAGAATTGATGGAGGATGGATAAGTGAATGGATAAACAGATGGGAAAAAAATGATACCTCCCCTCTGTAGAGTCTTCCTACAGTCCTCTGGGCAGGGAGTTTTCCGTCTGTGCTTCATAATACCTAGTGCAAACCTCTACCCAAGCCTTAGTTTCCTCAGCTATAAAATGGGGGAAATAATAGTATCTACCTGGTGGGGTTATCGAAACGAAATTATATAAGCCATGTAATAGTTTTAAATCAATGATAATAGGTTGTTACATTTAAATGAGGTAATCCATGCAAAGTGCTTAGAGCAAGTTCTTGTACTACTAAGCGCTCAAAAAATATTCATAATTATCACAGCACTTATCATTTCTTCCTGCCTGTGTCCCCTGCCAAAGAGTGAGCTCCTTAGGGGTACTGCTTAGGTCTTGATCATTTTTGGACACACCACCTCTACGGCCTCACAGTGCCCAGCTCGGTGCTTTCAGTAAATGTTTACTGAGTGAACAAATGAACACAGATTTGCCAGCCGATGAGTCAGGGCACTGCACTCTTTTTCATCACTCACAAACCCAGACACACACTAATGCAAACAGTCTCTTACAATTCACACCCACTCACATTCATTCAAAGAACCTCAAAATACCACAGAACAGCCACCCAGCTTCCTAAAATCAGCCATGCATCAAAGAAGAGAATTACCCACTTTCTTGCACCCACCATACAGCACCTCAATGCCCAGTACCCCCTCCTCACCTCTGGAATTATGGGGGCTGTAGGAGGGAGGGAGCTCTCACTCACAGTAAGGAAGGCAAAGTTGGACCTTCAGCCCCCAGCACTGGCAGTACCGCAGCTACAGATAGCACTGCCCGCCCTCCCTTCCCTGGGCTCACCTCTTTCCTTTTCTGAAAACCTGGGTCCCTGGGCTTGGCAGGTGGTTGAGGAAGAGGCCTGGGAGCCAGAACTCCTGGGTTCCTTTCTCATTCATCTAGTCTTGTCTCTGAACCCGGAAGCATAGGCCATTGTCCTCCTCTCCTAGCGCCAAGCACAGCAATTTGTAGGAAAAAAGGCAGGATGAGGAGATCCCATGCCCCGGGGTGGTGGAAGTGTCTTGCTGTGAAATAATTATATTAGCCATCCTTTACTTGGCGCCTAATAAGGGTCAGATACTGAGGCCAGCGCTTTGCTACCTTCATTATTACTCGTTTAATCCTTATAACAACCCCTTTTCCAGAGGAGAACACCTGAGACGCTGCTGGTTAGTCGGTAGCCTAAAATCACCACCTGCGACTGGCATGCAGGTCTCTAAGCCCGGAATCATCAGCGGCCAGGCTTTAGAGAACTCAGGGTGGATCGGGTAGGAGGGCTGGAGGTCCTCAGGTATTAAGCTGAGGAGACGCGCCCCCGTCCCAGACAGTACCCGACCCCCAATCAGCCAGGCCCTCTTGTCCCGGGGAAGAGGGGCTCGGCGTGCCGCGGCGGAGGTTCCTCTCCCGCGGGGACCTGGGCGGGGCCGGGGCGGGGCCGGCGAGCCTGGGGGAGGCGCGGAGCCGGTGGCCCAGGCTCACAGGCCAAGATGGCTGTTAATTAAAGTGCTGGCACCGGCTCCTCTCTGCAAAGTTTGAAGCCGTTATTTTCCACTCCAGCGAAGCGGGGAGAATCCGGCTGGGCTGACAGAGACGCCACACAGCGCTAGGGGAGCGGGCGCTCTTTCGGGTCGGGGGGCGGGCCGCCTTGCAGCGCCGAGCGCGCCCCTGGACGCCCCGGCGAGCGCCGGGGGTGCGTGCTCCCGCCCCTCCGCGGCCTCGGGCGACCAGCCAGTTTCCCCGGCGGATTCGGGAAGGACTCCGGGTGACAGACGAGCCCCAGCGGCACAGCAGAGGAGAGAGCCGTGTGCGAGCGAACTAGGGGGCGCGGGATTGTACAAATCATACGCCGACGACCGCGCACTTGTCCCTCGGGTCACCAGCCCTGTCGCTCTTGGGGGAGTCATACTGGGGAGACCGCCGTGGGGGACGGGAGGCCGGACTGACAGCCGAGAGTTGGGACTACTCTTCCCGAGCCTGGGGGGCGGGGTCTAGCTGTCCTCCTCCGCCTGCACTTAACGCCTTCTTCCCTCTAGGAAGTAAACGGTACCTAGAGACCCAACTGGGTGGCGGTTCGAAGAGCTTGGAGCCAGGCTGGCGGTTTGAATCCCGGCTCTATCGCTTATTAGTTGTGTGGCTTTGGGCAAATCTCTTAACTTCCCAGAGCCTCAGTTCTCCCTCTGTAAAATGAAAGTGATGATGGGCTTTACCTCTTTGGATTGCTGTGGAGATCTGGTGTGATGGCGTCTGTAAAGCAGTCAACACAGGGCCTGGCACACAGTAAACCCTGAATAAATGCTATTGATTGAATTTTTAGCTCCTTCCTTGGCGAGGGGATCACTCTAACACGGGCTGGGCGGTGCTTGAAAGGTCCTCTCTCACAGCCCCCACCCCCCGCCCCCGACATCCTCCTGTTCTTTTCCTCCTCCCAGCTCAGGTGGGGTTAATCAATCTCAGCTTTGGGAGGGGTCCTCTCAGGAGAAAGGAGAAAGGCTGGAGGGTCATCCTTTAGCAGCAGCTCGTGGCCTCTGAATGGCAGAGCCCTCCCGGGTAGGCTGGATAAAGGAGGGTGAGGAGGAGCAGCGGAGCAGCACAAACTGGGCCTCAAATAACGTGACAAATATTTTGATGGAAGCAGACGCCTTCTCGTTTATGCAGTCTAAACACTTTACTGCACTTGAGGAAGAGGGGCGCCTTATACAGCCTGATGGGGAAAAGAGTTAGGAGCTCAGGAGGCTCGAGCTTGGGTAGGAGTGGAGAGCTGAGGGACTGGGAGAGAGCAACCCCTCCTCTTGGAGCCTGGGAGAGGGGGTCACCACCCAGGGATGTGTCTGTACTGTCAGAACGGAGAAATTACCTGGAGTGCCCACTTTCTTAGGGCCCCGATATCTACCTTGCCTAAAAGCAGGGAGAAGGGAAGTGACCAGAGTAAGATGGAGGGGCCCCCGGCCCCACCCCCATCCCCAGGAAAAAGTAGCCTGAGCTGGCCTGGAGCGCAGGAAGGAAGGAGCAGAAGTAAGGAGGTGTGGGTAGAAAACCCTGCTCCTCCTGGGGAAAGGCCGTCCCGGGAACATCCAGGAGCCAAAAAGAGAGGAGGGAGCGGCAGCTGTTAGCACTCGGGATTCTGCTGGGCACCCTGACAGGCATCCCACCACCACCCCCATCTCCCGGACAGGCTGTCTGCGAGGGCTGAGGGCGGACTGGCCCCCTCCCCATCCTCCTGCCTCCCCCTCTTCTCCCCCCCATAGCCCTCTTCCTTGTCCTTCCTTCTTGCTCCCCGCTCCTTCCTCCTCTCAATCGCTCTTTGTCCCCTGAAGACCGGGGTGCCCTACCCCAGCCTCCGGCCCCTGCGGGCCGTGGCCCCTCGTGCCTCCCTCTGTCTTTCTCGGCTTTCCTCGTAAGCGACCCTCGAGTCCTCTCCCTCCCAATCCCACTCGGCGCTCTCTAGCTCTCCCTATGACCCTCTCTTCCATTCGCTTTTTCGTCCCTAGTCTTCCCTTCTCTATGCGAGCCTCTCCTATGTCTGAGACTCTAGCACCCTCTCCTATGTCTGAGACTCTAGCACCCTCTCCATTTCCGAGGCCATGTCTCCCTCAGTCAGTCTCTCCCCTTTCCTCTCCCGGCTCCAGCCCTCTACTCCTCGGCCCCGCCCCACGGCCCCGCCCCTCTTGGTGGGCGGAGCCCTACCGTCCGCGGCCCAATTAGGCGCCGGCCCAGCCCTCGGCCCCACCCCTGACGGGCGCAAAGCTGCGCTGAGCGGGTGGGGCTGGACAGGGCGGAGGGGGCGGTGGCTCGAGCGCAGGGAGGCAGGAGGAATCAGGCAGGAGGCGGCGGCCGCCGCGCTCAGTTCTGCCGCGCCGCGGGAGGGAAGCGCGAGGCGGGAGCCGGCGGCTGGGCTCGGCAGCGCATCCAGCGTAGTGCGGCGCCCCGGGCCCGGCCCCATGCCCTCAGCCCCCCCGGACCGCCCTTGAGCACGGGCGCCCTAACCGCGCCCCCTGCCCGCCGGCACCATTGCCCCGACGGCGCGGCCTGGCGGCCCGGCGCTCCCCAGGCTCCGCGCCGGCCGGAAGACGCTCCTGGCTGCCGCCGCGGGCGTGGTGATGCTGCTGGTGCTGGTGGTGCTCATCCCCGTGCTGGTGAGCTCGGGCGGCCCGGATGGCCACTACGAGATGCTGGGCACCTGCCGCATGGTGTGCGACCCCTACCCCGCGCGGGGCCCCGGCGCCGGCGCGCGGCCCGACGGCGGCGACGCCCTGAGCGAGCAGAGCGGCGCGCCCCCGCCCTCCACGCTGGTGCAGGGCCCCCAGGGGAAGCCGGGACGCACAGGCAAGCCGGGCCCTCCCGGGCCCCCGGGGGACCCGGGTCCTCCGGGTCCTGTGGGGCCACCCGGGGAGAAGGGTGAGCCGGGCAAGACCGGCCCTCCCGGGCTGCCGGGCGCGGGGGGCAGCGGCGCCATCAGCACGGCCACCTATACCACGGTGCCGCGCGTGGCCTTCTACGCCGGCCTCAAGAACCCTCACGAGGGTTACGAGGTGCTCAAGTTCGACGACGTGGTCACCAACCTAGGCAACAACTACGACGCGACCAGCGGCAAGTTTACATGCAACATTCCCGGCACCTACTTTTTCACCTACCACGTCCTCATGCGCGGCGGCGACGGCACCAGTATGTGGGCGGACCTCTGCAAGAACGGCCAGGTGGGCCCGGCGGGGGCATGGGGCTGGCCTGGGGGCAGGGCATCCAGGAAGCCCGGAGCCGAAGGGTACGGAAGGGCGCAGATGGAGCCCCTGGAGCGGTTTAGGCATTACAGGCGGGGATGGTCCAGGCTGGCTGGCACCCCTAACTCCTCGGTTCCTGGGCGCCAGCTCCAAGGCAAATGCCGCTGGGCACCTGCGGCATGGAAATGCGGGAGATAAATCCAACTAATAATCAGAGCACAGGGCTCCCGGGCGCGCGGACTGGCCCTTGGGGGCTTGGCCCTTGGGAAACAGCGTCTGAGAGCTGGGATTCTGGTTGATACCAGCTGGCGATGAGGGGACGGATCAGGATGGGCTCTGGGGAAAGGCAGCATCGGCGCCCACGGGCGCCTGGGCGCACCGCTAGGCGCGCAAGCGGAGAAGACGAGCTATAGGAGATGTTTTGCGCACAAAGGCAAAGGGAGCCGAGCGCATAAAGCCTTAGCTGCAATACATCCCCCGCCCTAAGGAAGGGACCACTGGGCCGATCTGACACCCTTTGCAAAACCCGGGACTACGCGGCCCCTTCCCACTGTGTCAGAGCTAACCGCACGAAAAGACGGCCTGGGGGGGGGAAAGTTTTTCCTCCTGAGGCAGGGCAAAGAGGTGGAAACTCCCCTCCTCTTTGCCTCCCAGATGCAACTCCTGATTCCTGGGGTGTCAGGGGATCCATTCCTTCCCTATCTCCAACGGAGAGACCAGAGTGGCAGGCACCAAGCTCACGAGGTCTTTGGTACCTGGGACCGGCAATGCCTCCTGCTCTCCTTGGAACCGCTGCCCCGGGACCAATCTTGACCTAACCCTGCCTCAGGATGACAGTTTTACCCAGCTCCCGTCGCTTTGATTCCCCCTCCCTTCTCAGTGCTCCCAGACCACGGTGGCCTGGGGCCCCTGGGGTAGTCAAGCAGAGCATCCTTGTGGAAAAAGGTGTCTGTGCCAATCAGAACTAAAGCTAGGCTGATGGGAGTTGGGAAGGAATCTCCTGCGACTGAGACCCAAGATCCTGCTGGAACCCCTCCCACTGCAGCACTACCCTGAGGCAGACCCTGGCTTGGGGGGTGGGGGAAAGGACAGGCCTGAGAGTCAGCAAAAAGCCTACCAGGTGCTTGTAAGTCTGCCCCCTGCCCTCTCTGCCCTCTCTCCTATGCCTGCTGTGTCTGGTTTCTGCCTCTCCCCTGCCTCTTTCTCCTATCTCTCCATCTCTTGTGCTGGCCTCTCTCCTGTGTCTACCAGTCCTATCTGTCTCTCCCTGGGTTTCTGGTCCCTCACCCCTGGGTTTAACGCCCCCCCTCTTTATTTATTTGGTGTCTCTCTCCCACTTGTGTCTATCAGGCTTCCTGTGTCTCTCCTCTTTGTCCTTGGTTCTTGACCAAATGGGAGGCCCTAGTATCCAGTTAGGGCCATCTCTGCAGGCAGCCCCACAGTTCCCCTTATTAATCGCCGGTAAGGGATGCAACAATGTCACCTTCATTGATGGAATTTCTTCCTTTCCTAAAGAAAGTTTGGGCTGGCATGAAGTTGAGGTTTCAGGGGGCTGGGGGCCCAGCTTGCCTGAATAGGAAGGTGGTCACCAGGCCACCAGTGGGCCCTAGACCCTCAGGAGGGCGCCCCAGGGCCCCAGAGATGAGACAAGAGGAGGCCCCAAAGATGGTGTGTGCTTGGGGCAAGGACACCTGCTGCAGTCTCAGGGAGGTGAAACTGACCCAAAAGCCTCTTTTTACCCCTGGGGCAGGACATCGACAGAGCCTGACAAGGAGGTGGCACCACAGGCTGGTAGAAGAAATGAGGTGGCTTTAACCAGGGGTTTCAGAGACCCAGCATTTTAACAGTTACTCAGACCATTTCCTCCATACACATAAAAAAATCCAAGACAAGCAAGCAGTGGGGTGATAGGCCCTGGTCCTCCCTTACATCCTTTGTGACTTCCTCCAGATTGTCCAAGAGACTCCTTTAATCTCACTGGTCATTCTTTATATTAGTTTTGAGCCCCTACTAGGAGCCAGGTTTGGGGTTCCAGAGGTTCAGTCTCCTTGCCCTCCAGAACCTCGTGGTCTGTGCAGGGGAGACAGTAGTAAACACACAGTAACACAGCCCAGCGATTATTGAGTGGGAGGATAGGGAGACCACTGGCACTCCTGTCCCCAGATGTGTTGGCTGGAGGGAGTGACTCAGTGGGGCCTGCCCCAGCTCAGACCAACCTGCTCGGGGGAGAGGAAGGGGAACCTGGGTCCCCAAGGTGAGGAGACACAACTAGGGAGAAAATGAAAAGGTCGAGTGTAGGGCAAGGCTGGCTCAGAGGTGGACATTCAAGTGAGCGGAGAAAAAGGAAAGGCTGGCTCAGAGGTGGACATTCAAGTGAGCGGAGAAAAAAATGATGGGGCTGGGCAATGGGTGGGACCAGAAAAGAGGAGCTTGCTCCTCCCACGCCTTCAAGTCCAGGGGTGACCCTGGGCTCTGTGCTTTTCCTTCCTGGCTTCCTGCCTTGCAGAGAGGCTTCCAGAATTTCCCCCAGAAGGTAGAGCTGCATCGGGGCCCTGGCCCTTCCCTGGGCAACATGGGGAGACGGGGCGTCACCACCTTCCTGCCTGGTGCTGAGACCCCCTCTCTGTCCTTGTGTGAGGCCCACCAGCCCCTCTATCTAGGGGTAGCTTTGAGTCACCACTGCACAGCCTGATGGCACTAAGCCTGAGTCATTAGGACATGGGCACCTGAGGAGCCTGAGGAAGGGACTCTAGGTTGGGGAGGGTGCCCTGGGTGAGGTGAGCCCCCTGCAGCTCCCTCTAAGACCCACAGTTCAGGGACTTCCCTGGCTGTCCAGTGGTTAAGACTTCGTGCTTGCAGTGCAGAGGGCATGGGTTCGATCCCTGGTCCCTGGTCAGGGAACTGAGATCCCACGTGCCGGGCGAGGACGCGAAATTGATAAACAGGGCTAGAGAAGAGGGGGCTGTGTGGGGACAGGCCAGGGCCTATGGGAAGGCAAGTATTACAGATAGACAGGGGCTTGGACACCAGAGTTTGAGTGAGGTGAGAAGTGGTGGGGTGTGTAAATTGGGGACCATGGTATAGAGACCTAACTGGAGATCAGCCTCTCTGATGGGGGGAGAGGGACCCCCTGCTGTCCTCTCTGGCCTCTAATGCCTTTCACAGGGCAGAACCAGTGCCTGGCATAGTAGGGACCCAGCAATGGTGTGAAAGCACAAGTCCCCTGTGGACCAGGCTGGCTGCCTGTGGGAGCCACACCTGCACATCCAAAACCCCAGCATTGCTCTGGGGGTAGGGGCACGTTTCCTGGGTTCTCTGCCCCCACCCCACCCCCACTCCAGGCCCCTAATCGGACCACTGCCTCAGTTTCCTTTATTGGCAGCCCTTGAAGAGGTGCTTCTATAGCGCCCCCTCCTGAAAAGCCCCAGACTTGCTTTCCTGCTTCCAGGACAACCTCAAATCCCCAAACTTCCCGTCGGCCCCCAGGAGGAGCTGGATGCCTCAGCTGTTCCCAGTCTTGTGCAGAGAATCAGGACCCCTGGGTTCCATTCCTGGATCCCCCACTCTCTAAGGATGGAAGAGCATTAATTCTCCCTGCCTCCGTGGATAGTTAGGATAATCACAGCAACAATCATGGTGATGAATAAATAATAAACATAAGCGTAACAGTTCTGATGCTTGTCACATCACCAGGAGATTCCTGATGACAGATGACGGTATTCTAATGGATTTGGCTATTAAGAAGCACACTGTTTTAATGAGTTAAGGCTAAATTAATCTGGGTAATAAAAATAATTGTTATTAATAGTAATTTATTAGCAAAGATAATGAAATGCATGTGTAATAATAAATACTGCCAGGATTAGGGCCCAGGGAACAATACAGGAGTCGGCTGCTTGCTTTTTTCAGCTCTTTCCTAGTAGCTCAAAGCCCATCAAGATTAAAAACTTTTTCCTTCACTGTCAAAAAGCTTCTACACTGGTGGCAGTGGTGAGGCAGGATCTTCTCATCCATTTTCTAAACGGAGAAACTGAGCTCCTTGGCAGACGGCATCTCTCCCTCATTTGATTTTCCACCACCTTTAGCTGGACCAGGAGTTTTCCCAACTGACTGCCCCAAACAATTCCCTCCCAGGTTGGGGAAGAAGAGCTTGAGGGGCGAGAAGGGGCTGAAAGGATCTGGGCTTTAACTGACAGACTGCATGCAAATATGTCGGGTCCTCCTGGTGCAGCATTGCTGCTGAGTCAGCAGCTTTGGCACAGCTGATCTACAGTTCTGCCTTCCGTCCAGGAGGGAGGATGGGCCCCTCCCCTAATTTGGCTTGGTCCAGCCCTGACTGTCAGCCCTTGGGGGAGTTGCCTTCGGGGAAGGGGCAGGATGGAGAGGGGCTGTTGAGGAGCCTGGCTGAGAGAACCCCATTCAATGCAGCCTCCCCCCAACACAAGCCAGAACTTGGAGATGGCTCCTCTCTTCCCATTCTCCACCCAGTATATTCTGGAGAGGCCCCAGGTCAGATGGCTCAGGACTTGCGCTGGCCTCAGCGGTCGGAAAGGAATGCCTGGAGGGAATTCGTCCACCACCCCACATCCTCATTATCTTATGATTATAGTCTGAGCCCCCCAAATGATGTGTCAGGCTTCAAATCCAAAGGCTGGCGCTCCCCTGCCCCATCGTCCTGCCTGTCCCGCCCCTCCTCCATCCAAACAAGGAGCAGCAAAGATATCAGATCAGACTGAGGATCACAGAGGGATATAAGGCTTGGCTCCCTTCTTCCCATCCACTTCCTTTCTACCACCGTGGGGTGATACAGGAGGAGCCAGAAGTCCTCTTTGGGTGGGGGAATAGTCACAGGTATAGCTACAGCTCCTTGGAGGCGGGATGCAGGCCCAACCTGAGCCTTGGGAGGGGAAGTAATGCCCAGGCCTTCCATCTCACTGCTCTGGTATGAAAGACTCCAGGATGGACTTCAGACAAGGCGTCCACAGAGCAGGCCCTGGTACTAGTGTGGTTGCTTACTAGTAGCCTGGCATTGATCCAGGCCCAAACCTATAAGGCCAAGGGGCGCCCTCCTGTCCATCCACTGACATAAGAACAGGTGGATGTGGCTGAGATGTAAGGCATCATTATCACAATAAGGCAGAGAGGAACCAATGGTGAGAGAGGGGATGGCCCTCCATCCCTTAAGGGTCCAGAGAATTCCTCTCTGCAAGGAGGGAGTTCCAGGCTGGGGCATCCTGGAAACATTGTTGAAGTCAGACAGTGAGACCTAGGGGAGTTAAGGAGGCCGGTTACACCTGGACTGCCAATTCAGACCCAGATTACACCTGCCCTAGAAATCCAAGGCTCCTCTGTGACCGCTTCCCAAAACACACAGTTATGACTGGACAGGGCAGTGGTGGGATGATGGGAGAAAAGCAGGCTGAGAGCCCTGATAGGGCTGGAGGTGGGGCTTTGGGGGCTTCCAGAGGTAGCTGCCTTACCTCTGACGGTCCCCCTCCCTCCCCGACCCCACTTCTCTCCCTCCTCCTCCCCTACCTCCTCACACACACCCCTCTTCTCTTATCCCCACCAACCCCGCAGGTGCGGGCCAGCGCCATTGCCCAGGACGCAGACCAGAACTACGACTACGCCAGCAACAGCGTCATCCTGCACCTGGACGCGGGCGACGAGGTCTTCATCAAGCTCGACGGAGGCAAAGCGCACGGCGGCAACAGCAACAAATACAGCACATTCTCCGGCTTCATCATCTACTCCGATTGAGCTCCTTGCGACCCCTCCATCCCCTATCCTCCCGGAGGTCCCCTCCCGGCGGGGCAGAGGATGACCCGTCCCCCTACCCACACCCCCTCGCTGCCCGCCACGGCCGCCGGCTTCTCCCGGCTATGATGCCCCCGGCCTGCCCTCACCACCGTCCGGGCTGCAGCTAGCCCTCCCACCGTCTCGCCGCAGAGCCGGGTCCAGCGCGCCCCGTCCCGGTTCCCCGGGAGGCGGTGTCGACCGCCCCCGCCCCAGCCCGCACTGTATATTTGTACAATAGGATTGTTTTTGCCCACCTGACCCACCAGCCCGCCCCAGCTGGGGGAGAGGTCTCGGCGGGGTCGCTCTCCGTGCTCGGATGCACTGCCCACCCGCTCTGGGGTGGTGCTGCCTGGGGGAGCGGTGTATTGGGGGCTGGATGGCTTCCCAGCTACAGCCCTGGCCGGCTGCGCCTCGTCTGACCAAAGCTATAATAAAACACTTCCACCCCGCTGGCTTTCCGACTGTGCCCTGGAGAGGAGTTGCAGGAGGGGACCATGAACCCTGCCCTCCTCCAGGCTGGGAATGAGCCTGCTGAAAGTTTCTCATGGATCCGTGGGGAGCCAGGCGCCAGAGCCAGAGCTGCTCCAGGAGGAGGTGGGCCGAGGGGCCCAATGCCCACCACAGCCCAAGTGGGCCTGGGCAGCTGGAATGGGAGGCAGTTCAGTTACATTATCATTTTCCAGGGTGGAAAAGCTCCATCTTTTCGACCTTGAAAGTGGCATCAGCATTCCAAATGCACAGCAAGTTTTAAATTGGGAAACCCAGGTTCCGGTCCCAGTGCCACGGTGTAGAATCCTGGCCGTGTCACTCTTTTCTGACTCAGTTCGGGGTTAGTGACAGCAGTGAAAGGAACAAGCTTTGCATTAAATGCTGGTTGACCCTGACCCAAGCATTTCACCCCTGGGCCTCAGTTTTCTCATTATAATATGTAGGTGAGGAGACCTAACCTACCTCACTTGACTGAGAATTAAAGAGGTATCATGTATATGCTCAATAAACACAGCTTTTATTATTTATGCATCACTTTAAAGTTTGTCAAAGGCTTTCACATATGTCGTCTCACTTGAGTCTTCCAAGAGCCCTGGGAGGTTGGGTGAGTAGATTTTATTCTTTTTCCAAAGAGGTTAAATAGCTTTTAAAATAGGACACAGGGACTTCCCTGGTGGTGCAGTGGTTAAGGATCCACCTGCCAAAGCAGGGGACACGGGTTCGAGCCCTGGTCCAGGAAGATCCCACATGCCGCGGAGCAACTAAGCCCGCGAATCACAACTACTGAGCCCACACAGCTAGAGCCCATGCTCCGCAATAGGAGAGGCCACCACAATGAGAAGCCCACGCACCTCAACGAAGAGTAGCCCCCGCTCGCTTCAACTAGAGAAAGCCCACACACGTCAACAAAGACCCAGCACAGCCAAAAGTAAATAAAATAAATAAATTTATTAAAAAAAAAATAGGACACAGTCCCCAAGTTCTGTGATTACACTTGAATCCAAGAAGCTCTTGCCTCCCTGGAGACACACTAAGTCTCCTTGCCTTGTCACTGCCTCCCTCACCTCCTATTACTGGGACCATGACGGTTGCACAGTTAGGGCATTCCTAAATCATAATAGCTAATATTTAGAGAGCACCCACTCTGTGTCTGACACCATATAGGAACTTTTTTATTTTTTAAATTTATTTTTGGCTGTGTTGGGTCTTCGTTGCTGCACGCAGGCTTTCTCTAGTTGTGGCGAGCAGGGCTATTCTTTGTTGCAGTGCACAGGCTTCTCATTGCGGTGGCTTCTCTTGTTGCAGAGCACGGGCTCTAGGCGTACAGGCTTCAGTAGTTGTGGCACACGGGCTCAGTAGTTGTGGTGCACGGGCTTAGTTGCTCCGCGGCATGTGGGATCTTCCCAGACCAGGTCTCGAACCCATGTCCCCGGCATTGGCAGGTGGATTCTTAACCACTACGTCACCAGGGAAGCCCCATATAGGAATTTTATAAATATTATCTCATGGAAATGTGTGTGGGGTGGGAGTGGACTGGCAAGAAATGCTCCCATGCCCTTTAACATGGATGCTGTTGTTTTATCCATTTCAGATGAGGAAACTGAGGCTCAGAGAGGATAAATAATTTGCTATGGTCACAGAGCTAGGAAGAGGCAAATGCCAGTATTTGAACCAAAGACCATACTCTTACCCAGCGTGCCGTATTACATAAAGACCTGGGATCTCCAAAGCAGAATGGAGGAAGGATGGCTTGGGGGCAGCCCAGTGCTTCCACTCCAGCGCTGCCCTGCAGAGGCTTGATGGGATTTACAAGCATCTGCCCTGGGCAGCAGCCATGGGGTGAGCCTCTTGGAGAATCCCAAGGCTCTGCTTGAGGGAAGGGTCCCATCTGGCCTCCCCTCCCCCTGCTGGCTCAGCTGGAGAGACAGGAAGGAGGGGTGGCCTCCCTCCCAGTCAGGCCTCATGTATGGACCCTTGTCAAGGCTGGCAGACTTGAATGACTTTCTTTATCCTGTCTTCTCTCCCCTACATCCCCCTACTGCCAGCTGTGGCCATTTAATAAAATTAGCTTAATACTTGTTCCTTCCCTGTGGGGTCTGGAGATTGAAATCTGCGGGTTCCCACAAACCCAATAAAACCCCTGGCAGGTCTTGCTGGAGAGTTTCCTTCCTTGGGAAGAGTGATTAGATTAGCCAGCAGC